ACCTCCCTTCGTCGGCCTCGGTTTATTCTCTCAGTCTCTTCTGGTGTGTCCCCTCTGTTTCCCGCTCTCCCATGTGTTTCCGTGTTGTGTTTCTTAAGTTCCACGTGGGTGAAATAATTTGGAATTTGTCTTCTCCCTGGCTGACTGATTGTGCTCAGCGTGACACGTACCAGCTCGTCCATGTCCTTGCAAGTGGCAAGATTTCCTTGTCTTTGGTGGCCGAGTACTGTCCTGTTGTACACACACCACATCTGCTCCGTCCGTTCATCAGTCGAGTTTGGGCGCTGCTCATAGACTGTCTGCCGTTCACGACGCTACTAGAAATATCAGGGTGCATGTGGCCCTTCGGATCTGCATTTGTGTATCTGTGAGTGAATAGTAGTGCAGTTGCTGGGTCATAGGGCGATTCTGTTTTTAACTCTTTTCAAAAAGGTTTATTTCTTTATTCATGGGGGGAGGGGCAGAGGGAGAAAGAGAATCTCAAACAGACACCCCCACCCCCCACCCCGCTCCGAGCCTGAAGCCCAACACGGGGCTTGATCCCAGGACCCTGAGATCATGATCCGAGCTGAAGGCAGAAGCTTAACCCACTGAGCCACCCAGGTGCCCCTATTTTTAACTTTTTCAGGACCCTCCACGCTGTTTTCCAGAGTGGCTGCACCAACTTGGGTTCCCAGCAACAGTGCATGAGGCTCCCCTTTCTCCACAGCCTCGCCAAGGCCGGTTGCTTCTTGTGCTGTTGATTTCGGCCGTTCTGACTGGTGTGAGGACGCCTCACTGTGGTTTTGATTTGTGTTTCCCTGACGCCGAGCGATGCTGCGCATCTTTTCTTGTGTCTTTAATCGTCTGGATGTCCTCTTTGGAAAAATGTGTATTCATGTCTTCTGCCCATTTCTTTTTTTTTTTTTTTTAAGATTTTATTTTTTTATTTATTTGACAGAGATCACAAGCAGGCAGAGAGGCAGGCAGAGAGAGGGGAGGAAGCAGGCTCCCTGCTGAGCAGAGAGCCCGATGTGGGACTTGATCCCAGGACCCCGAGATCATGACCTGAGCCGAAGGCAGAGGCTTAACCCACTGAGCCACTCAGGTGCCCCTCTTCTGCCCATTTCTTAACTGGATTATTTGTTTTGGGGATGTTGAGCTTGGTAAGTTCCTTACAGATTGTGGTCAAACAAACACTTTATTTTATTTTTTAAAGATTATGTATTATTTGACAGGGAGAGAGCACAAATGGGGGAGCAGCAGGCAGAGGGAGAAGCACGCTCCCCGCCAAGCGGGGAGCCCGACACGGGGCTCGATCCCAGGACCCTGGGATCATGACCTGCGCCGAAGGCAGATGCTTAACAGTTGAGCCACCCAGGCACCCCTCAAACAAACACTTTAAAGCAGGTTTAATAACTATATTCAGTGAGGTAAAGGATACACTCCTCTTGAACAAAAATACAGGAAATCTCTGTAAGGAAATAGGATATGTACACACACACACACATACTTTTAATGAGCCAAATGGAAATTTAAGAAATGAAAAATAGAGCGTCTGAAATGAAAACTTTACCGAATGGTCATAGTAGGATGAGAGTGACAGGAAAAGGTGACATCAGAGGTTGCTAGAGTCATCTCGTCTGAAGGAAAAAGGGGGACTGATTAGGGTAAGTGTCTAGGACACGGGTAATCACAGGCTCCAGAGGAGAGGGGAGACGCACAGTGGGGCAGAAGAGATACGTTAAGGAACAATGACTAAAACCTCTCCAGACTTGGTGAAAGACATATAGGAAAAATGGAATAAAGTCACACTTAGACACATCATTTTCAAATTATTGAAAATTTAAGATTAACTTTGAAAATCTTGAAAGCAGAGAAAAGCAACAGATCACATACAGGATAGCATTGTAAAGACTGAATCGGGCCACAGAGGCAGGAGGTGAGTGGGACTGCACCTAAAATATTAGAAGAATTCTATATCCTCCAAGAGTGAATGTTAAATAGAAGTATTTTTGGAGAAAGGGAAACTGATAAAATTTGTTGCTGTCAAGCATGCACTGCTAAAAATGCTGAAGAAGTTTTTGTAGCCTGAAGGTCAGTAGCAGAGAGAAACTCGGATCTCATGAACGAGGTTGGGCATCAGGCACAGTGAATGTTAGGGGGAAGTGTTTTCTTTTAAGTACGTGCGTCTTAAAAAATTCAGACATTTCTCGTGTATGGAATGTATGCAGATGTAGCAGGCAGGACAGTTGTGGCCCCGAGAACGGTGAAGGGCACGAGAGCCTGTGGGGTTTCAAGGCTTCTGCGCTTAGAGGCAGCCGTGCCGCACTCTCCATCGGTGGGGGAGAGGGTGCATGTGGCAGTCCCTGGAGCAGCAGTTATAAAAGTATGCAAAGAAGCATAACCAAAGAGCCAGAAGATACACTGAAGGGAATTCTTGAAATACTCCCCGTGGGAGACGGGGCAGCAGCTTAGAAAGGTAAATAAACACTTGCCTTGACCCCGTCGTTCCAGTCCTAAGTATCTCCCAAGAGAAATGAAGACAATGTCCACACAGAGACACGTACAAAAATGTCCACAGAGCTTTATTGATAGCCTCTGCAGTCCAGAAACAGCCCCGGCATCCGTCAGCGGGTGGGGGCGAAGGCCACGCTGTCGCTGTCACCACGGAGTTACCGTTCAGCCTTGAGGGGATGACATGCTGCTGACTCTGAAGACGACTGGCTCGGTGGAAGGAGCCGGGCGCAGAAGTGGGCACGCCGTGTGGCTCGTTGACGTCGGATTTGAGACCCGCAAGCGGGTCCTCCGGGACGACGGAGGCCTGTGGATGCCTGAGGCCAGGTTGGAGGGAGGGACGGCAGAGGGGCTCAGGCTCCCCCCGCAGTGGCAGGGACATTCCGCTCCGTGTGTCTGAGCTCACCGGTGGTGTGCTTTAGGTGGCCGCGGCTGGTTTTGGGCAGTTTACACCCAGGAACATCGGCTAACTGGCAGATGAAAGCGTTGAGTAAAATCTGGGACTTCTGAGGGCGCCTGGGGGGCTCAGTGTGTTAAGCGTCTGTCTTCAGCTCGGGTCATGACCTCAGGGTCCTGGGATGGAGCCTCAGATTGGGCTCCGTGCTCTGTAGGGAGTCTCCCCACCTCCCTCAGCCCCTCCCCACTGCTTGCGCTCATACTCTCTCCCTCTCCCTCCCTCTGGGTCAAATAAAATCTTCAAAAAAATAAATCTTGGACTTCTGATTTCCTGAATTGAAAGGGTGTTTCATGACTTAGTATGACCCTGGAGATGCTTCTTACCACAGAGTGAACTGAAGGGTCCATGACTGTTAGGGTTTCCACAAGGCAGAGAGAGATGGTCTCTGTGGAGCACACATGAAACAGACAAAAAGGAAGAGATTTGATCACAGCCTGTGGGTGAGGGTCAGTGCATCTATGACGTCAGCAATTGTCCAAGAAAAGAGAAGGTGCATTTTGGATGCATTTTATTTTATTTTATTTATTTATTTTTAAAGATTTTATTTATTTATTTGACAGAGAGAGATCACAAGCAGGCAGAGAGGCAGGCAGAGAGAGAGGAGGAAGCAGGCTCCCCGCCGAGCAGAGAGCCCAATGCGGGGCTCGATCCCAGGACCCTGAGATCATGACCTGAGCCGAAGGCAGCGGCTTAACCCACTGGGTGGCTCAGTGGGTTAAG